TTGCTCCTAGTAGCTTCTTGTTCCTAGTAGTACGGCCAGGAGCCCCTAGTAGCGTCCTTGCTTCTAGTAGCGATGCCCTTTGCTCCTAGTAGCTTCTTGTTCCTAGTAGTAATGCTCTGAGGATTGGTGTGGACACCAAGATCTGATTCGCTTAAATGTCCTTGGCCTCGAGGGCTATGATGCGGTGGCTTACTTTGATGGTGATTGCGAGTTTCAGGCCGCTGGAACGACGTTCCGTGAAAAGCTGGGCTTTCCGTTACGGGACCAAAGAATGCTGGGGGTACATACAATGGCATGCATGTCCTCCCAAGGTAATGTGGAAAGCAGGGAACTAGCTGGGAGGCTGCAAGCGCATAGCAGACTATCTTCAAGCAATTTTGAGCTTTTGAGGGGTGTTTCCCAATTGTGCTTGGGCCTCGTTGTATGCGAGCATTGGTGTTCCCAGCATGGGTTGCAGGGCATGCTTTTCATAGACATGCCTTTCAGATGAGGGGCCGGGATCTATGCTTTTCCCGCCGTTCCAGTCAGTTGCCTCTTGCCCATGTGCGAACAATTCACTCGTTGTGCGTGTTACCAAACAAACTCCCTTTGACGGTTCGAAAATCCCTTATCCATGAAAGCTGCGTGGCAGTGTGACTGTAGTAAGATTCCTAGATTTTGTGCAGCTACCAGCAACACTGTGCTTTGTAAGAATCGTGTCAGACACTACCTCCTCCATCAGCGTCCACTTCCTGCCAGGGCGACATCACTCCAATGATGCGGTGCGCAGCTTCAGGGACGCTCAGAAACACAGTCAGACGTGTTGGGTCATCAAAATTTGAGTGAAAACAAATTAGTCTAGTGTGATCTAGATAAACATGAAAGATCAAAGGGCATATGGTAAACGTAGTCAAGAACCCATTTAGTCTTTGCTGACTGGTTCTCGGAGCTCAGGACGTTCTTAAGTACTTCCGGAGGTATGGGAGAAGCATTGAACGTGGGCTTTTTTGCTGTGAAGCCAGACCGGCGTTTGGTGGAGGCTGCAGCCCTCTGGTGGAATATACCAAATGCAAGCAACAGTGAGGGAAGAGCTATGCAGGCATGTTTCTTTTGTTCTCTGTCTTCCTGAAAAGCTCTGACCTTTTCTTAATGTATCCAGTTTCAACGATATTCATGAACGTCTTTGGAATCCGAGGTTTTCTTTGCTCAGCAAAATGCATTCGACCACAACACTGGCTGGGGGGGCGCTGGCTGGGCGCCGAATGGTGGCTATTATGTGGGTGGCGAGTGCGGACAGGAGAATGGGCGAAGTGGCGTGGGATTCACGTGTGGCAACAGGTGTCCAAATACAATGTGCTTCAACCAAACGTTTCAACAACTCCAGTCTCCTTGGTCGTTGGCGCTCGAAGAACTTGCTAGTTGAACAGTGCCTCTCACCAACTCCACTCCCACTAGAGTCTTGCTTAGCCAAACTTTGCTGCAATTCATACGCCTTCATCCGATTCCAGTTTGTTTCTGCAACTTGACTGTACAAGTGGTGAGTTTGCATGAGTTGTGGGGTCGCGAGTAGTCAGCGCCCATGGAGGCAAGGAGAGACTCATAAGCAGAAGTTCTTGACAGAATTGATTTTCAAGGAAAGCTCGTTGTCCCACAGTTCCACACATCATTCGTTGGCGTTTTCAGATGAAGCAAGTCAATTATGATACTGGAACCAGTTTTATACTGCAATACATCAAGCTGAATAAGCTGGGCTCATCTAGTTCGGTGTCGTGTCGTGTCCCTTTCCGGAAATTGGCGCAGTAGGGGGACAAGCTGAAGGCAACACATGAACAGAATTGCCATGATTGTACCCCAGAGTCGACTTGTTCAAGCTTGGTTGACTCAAATGGTGGAGAACCAATAAGGAAACAGTGGTCCTTCTTCTGCCCAAGTGAAGTGTCGCTTGCTGAGCAAAAAAAGAAACACCTTCCTCTGCCCTTTGTGCAGCAACGCAGGGCTTCTTCTACACCTTGTTCTACAGGAAAAGCCCAGGCCACGTTCTGCTAAGGAGTCAAATATTTTTTCTTGCTACAATTGTGAGAGGGTGTGGCTGCTTGAGAGGTGACACATGCATCATGCATGTAGCTAGAGAGGATTGCATAAGTTGAGCAGGCATGCCGGGGAATGTATTCGGGTCTATCAAAAAACATGGGGAACACTAGCTTCATGGCCTGTGCTGTGCGTAACTTTTGTATATCTCGTTGTTTCTCCTCTGCACGGTTTTTCAGGTAGCCAAAGCGCGCTGGAACATGTTGGCTTATGGGACACCTTCAAGTCAGCTCAATTGGACCGTTGCATTTGGAACTATCAGACTGACAGCTCCTGTCGAAAAGATTTAGACTGCCGGCATGTGCCTTGCAGAGATTTGTCGAATCTTCACAGTTGCCAACTTTTGCTTCTCACGAATGAACATGATGTTTCAGAAACTTACTGGTACATACCGCTGGTGTACACTGTCCTTAGCTTTCCACTTTTCCTTTACAAAAGGCAATTCGACCTCCTCATTGTTTTGTTTCCTTGCCACAGTTTGGTAGCCCCTCTTCGCCCGTCATTTTGTTTGGTCAAGTCTGGCTACTAAGCTCTCCTCAAAAACTTGTGATTTCGGAAGTGGAGGAATCATCACCTCTTTGTTCATTGTTTGCACCTCACTTCGCACTGCTGTGAGGTCCGAGTCCATCACAAGCCCACAAGAGAACGGGGCTCAGAGAAGGAGTGTGACAAGCTGCAATTTAGGCACGACTTGACAACTTGTGATACCTTCACCAGATCAGCTACCTTGATCCCCTTGATCGATTTGGCTCACTCAAGCAATTGACATTTCTGCTGCAATACACGCACAGTTCTTTCTATGAGTATTGATCGACTCGGCCCACTTTCTTTGAATCAGGCTTAGCCTAGGAACTCCGACAGGTCACCTCCCTTTCTTTTCAGACCCAACACTGATGGGAAGGTCCGGGGAAGGCAGTTCGTTTTCACATCGCATTGCAGGCACCGGCGTGATAGCCTACTTCACAGGCAGACCATCTCCAGACCTCCGCTGACTGCTGAGCAGCTACGCTGGGCCCAGGAAGGCGTCTTCTAAGATTCTAAGAGTGAAAACCAGTGTTTCTACTATGCCGATCAAACAAAGAGGAAGCAGGGAAGCATCCTGTGAGAATGACTTCACAGCATCAGTTGAGCCGGAAAATGACAAGCTTGGCACCGGCTTCCGAATGCTGAAGAGTGTGACTCCAATCTGTCTTGTCTTATTTCGTGTGCCGCCGCAGGGCGCTTATTGAAGCATTCTGCTGGGTTGTGTTTGCGACCCTCAGAAGAGGAGGGCGATGGGACCCTGATGCTACTAAGCTGTTCCTTCCCACCAGTCGGGAAGCCAAGGCAGTCACAGTCTTCACTCCCCAGCAAGCAAGTCTAAAGCTGTGTAGTGCTAGCGCTTTCAAAGATTTGGTGGTGCAAGCTGCCGGGGGCAGAATTTAAGAGGATGGTTGGATGGACTAGAGAAGACATGATCATTCCGATGACTGAGGGATCCATAGCGAGTTGAAATCCACCGTCTTTCTGTCAGTCCTGCAAGGTGGAGCAAAACATTCGCTTGGTGGGTGAAGTCGGCAAAGCCAACAGCTTTCTGTTGAAGCAGGGTGGTCAGCGCCTTGTCTACAATTTGACACGCTCATAATTTGACTCTGTTGTTGAGGTGCTCCTAGGTGAGGCCTGACCTGTATGTATAATAGTCATTTTTGGATTGTTGGCTTGGCATGGGTCTTGGGTTGTGGTGCTTCTGGAACTTTTGGGTGGAGGTGACCTGTCCACTTTGTATTTTACTATTCATGCTTCAGTCAATTGATCTTGATGATTTGGATGTGGGTCAAGAAATAACACCGAGGGAATGAGCTATAAAGGGTTTGGCCCTTTTCCTTGACAGACCAGTCTAGGCCACAGACTTTTGGCACATGCTCATTTAGATAGCCTGGTATGTAGAGGACCAGAGGTTTGAGCCCACAAGGCAAGTGCTACTTGCAGTGATTGGGCAACAGGCACGTATGCAACAGGCACGTACCCCCGACCAAGTTCCCTCGCACACCGGAAGCTACATACACAGATATGTGGATAAGTTAAAAGGGGTTGATTCCATTCTTTTTGACGGGACTGACCAGCTGGAACTCACCTTCAGAGTAAGGCATAGAGGGCGAGTAGAAGGTTTGATGTGAGAAGGTGCACAGCTTGGTGGAGTCTTGACCCATCAAAGTATCTTCTAATTACCCTAAATTCCAATTAAAAATATTTATATATTGTTTCTACTAGCTTCTTGTTCCTAGTAGTAAGGCCCTTGTTCCTAGTAGCGATGCCAGGAGCCCCTTGTAGCGTCATTTGCACTTAGGTGCACCCATGTTGAGGGCGATGAGGACCCAGAGATGATCCCGAAGGAGCCGAAACTGGCCTTTCCGGTGGATTGCGCAGCCCATTTGCAGACGAGGGTCGACATATTCGAACTGGAACAGAATCAACAGTTCACTGTGGGGGCCAGGGTTTGTCTCTTAGGAAAATACAGCTAATCCATGGGTCATTTATCAAAGCTGTGTGCAGAGGGTGTTTGAGCAGCTTGGCTGTTTGCCTTCCGGGTCCGATGTGTCTAGGGTTTGACAAATAAGCAGACAACCTGTGAGGAAGCTTTTGATGGATCTGAAGGGCCGACATTAGAGTTGAAGCTGCTAGGAGTGTAGGCTGGCGCCACCTTTCTGTTGACTGTTCTTGGGCTCAGCTGGAGCCTCTCTCGTGTCAGACGCTTTCCTTCTCCTTTTTCACGCACGGACACCATATACATACACATAGAAACAGAACAAATCATGTTTTGAGTGTGAAAAGGCCAAAGGGTGAAATATTATACTTTGGATGTAGTTTCTGCAATGCATTCCCTTGGGATCCAAGGCTGCTACAACCAACCAGCCGCGCTTCAAGAAGATCCCTTCCACTGCTGTGAAGGGCGGATTTCTCATACAGCACGAATCAGGGCGCTGCATTCATCCATATGAAGGTGCAGTGGATCCCAGACAGAACACAGATGTGATCCTTCACTCTGATTGCAACACAGATCGGAAGGCGCTCACGTGGATTGAGGAGTGAATGTCCAACTCGTGGAAGACGCGTCCAACGTCTTGTGTCGAATCGGTCCTCAAAGACGTCCAACAGATCACTGGAGTTTCTGGAGGTGTGAACTTGGAGATCCTTGCAGCACCTTGCAGATCAGCTTTCAAGGATTTTGAAGGGGCACGTTCACTGCAAGGTTGAGAAGACGAAGAAGATGTTCCACCGACCATGGAGTGTGTTTATCCAGGATGCTCGAGTTTCTACACTTCGCTTGTGTGCAGAAAATGAGTGAAGGTCTCGGCTACAGCTACACGCAAAGACTGCGCATGGAAGAAACAATGTTCAAAATCTTTCATCCAACATGCAGTCATTAGAATCATTGGAATTGTCTGGCTAGAATAAAGACTTCCATGCAGAAAGGTGCAGGTTTCAACATATCGTAGCTGATTTTGGCTCAAAAATATGAAGACAATGGCCTGAAGAAGCAAGTCGCATCTCCCTCAGATACAGTACCTCCATTGTAACTGGCCCAGAGGTTTCAACAGCACTTCACCTTCATGTGACTTTGGGATATAAGATATTGCAAACTATCGGAGACAGCCTGCGAGAGTTGGAAAGTTTTGGACAGCTTTCAGAAACAAGACGCTTTTATTGACACACACCATGCTTCTTGCAGCAAACCCTAGCTGGGAGTCGAAAGCGCGGGCCCCAGAAGCTGTTTTTTGGCTGATTGGAAACTGGTTGGACACGTGTTGAATGAGTTATACAGGTAGCCGCTAACCCTCCACACACTATTTCTTCGCCTCAAATGCAGGTTGAGACTGGAAATACGAAAGCGAATGCAACAAGAAGTACTGAAAGCATGGGACGATGGGGAAAGCACCCATGGACGAATGACAACTGTGCATTTCTCAAAGGCTGGCATGCAGCAACTGGTCAGGCGTGCGTTGGAGCAGTACTCTTTTCTCCCCAATTTTCTCCGAGCCATCATTCAAATCTTCTTTGATTGAACAAGCGTTGATGGCCGGTGGAACAGATATGTGCTAAGTGCGGCCAGGCAAATTTGTTCAGATGCCTGTCAGTTGTGAGGCCGCTCCGCGCTGCTGCAAGGCAGTGGAGATGTTCCAGAGTGCGTCCTTTACCAGAGGCCTGCACGATCATGTCTACTCATATAGACCTCTTTTGCCTTCCTTTTGGGATCTTATTTGCTATACTTCCGCGTGTCAGCGTGTCAATCATTGACAAGGAAGGCTTTAAGTTCCAAGACCAGAATCCTGTGAGTCCGGAGGCATCCCATGGCGCGGCCTGGGCTGGTGTGTTGGCAGCTGCTTGGCTGGAAACCCTCTGTGACTAAGCGAAGCTCAGGGTGTCGGAGGCCCACCGAGCTGAAGCTGCGCCTGACATTCGGCCGGCTCAGACGTTGGAACAGTCCGGGCTCGGAAGAAATGCATTGGGAGGAGGCAGGTGCAAGAGTACAACCTGTTGGATTTGCCCTGCTAGGTTGTTGCTGCAAGACGTGCCTCCAGTACCCCAAGCACCTCCCGCCATTCACAGGTGGCAGAAACTGAGCACATGGGGAGCTGAATAAGATGCAATGTAAAGATTCAGAAGCAGATGCCTGAAAATGGAGCTGTTCCTGACATAGCCGCATAGCCTTGACAGTTGTGTATGTAATGATCTTGCTGTCGAGAAGGGACCTCTGGAGCCCGAGATGACAGAGAGTGGTGCTCCAGATATAGCTGAGCAGGACGTGGGGGAGGTCCATCGATGTTTACTGTTATGGATGTTTGACTTTGGATTTTGATGGCTTTGAATGGATTGCACCAGGATGTAGGCCAGCAAGCCGAAAGCGCGGAGAGGGTGGCCAAGCCCTGTCCCCAGCATTCACAAATGTGTAGATGTTAGAGGTGACCGTAGTTGTTTATGCGGAGGATTCCTTTGTGCATGAGTCTGCATGAGCTTGTGCGGTTTGCGTTTGTATCTGTGCTTTTGTGGCGTGAAGTGATGAAGTCAACTCATTGTCAAGCGATCATTGTGGTTGTTTTTTGGGTGTTTAGGTGGTTGGGTATGTGGCATCCAGTGCGACGGTCCAAGGGACCGCACTGCGTTCACCGAACGGTCTTTCAGGTCCATGAAGCTGTTGGACGAATACAGCGAGGTAGGACGAATACAGCGAGGTAGTCTCTGCAACCATGTTTTCAAGGACCCTCTCCTTTGCTAGATATGTTGATATATATATATATCTAGTACGAGCAAGTTCGAGTCCACCTGCGTTCCTGCTTTCTTTTTGCCATCATTCTTCATGCGAGCTGCAGTGCTTTAAATGTGCTTCAGCCTGATTCTTTTTTCCTGAGTGTTGTTTATGACATGCACCTTTCAGGTGTTCACAATCAGCTTGAACAATTGTTCCGCTTGACAGTGTTGAACAGCATGTCCAAACACCAGTGCTTTGACACATGGCTCAACTGCATGAGTCATTATCACAATCTAATTGAGCTTGACAGATCTTGGTGCAACAGACAAACATTCAGCACGTCTGTAGATGCTTCAAAAGAGCTACATATAGGCTCAATAGTGTTCAGCTTGAGATGTTCCCTCTGGATGTTCTCCGTCTCAAAGTGTTCTATATTACGTTGGAGGCCATTGCTATTAGGTTGGAGGCCATCGCTACTGGGTTGGAGGCCATTGTTATTAGGTTGGAGGCCATCGTCAGGTTGGTGGCCATCGCTACTAGGTTGGAGGCCATTGTTATTAGGTTGGAGTCCATCGCTATTAGGTTGGAGGCCATCGTTACTAGGCTGGAGGCCATTGCTATAAGGTTGGAGGCCATTGCTATAAGGTTGTTGGAGGGATGTTCTCCGTCTCAAAAGTGTTTTTTGTTCGAAACAGTCTCCACAGCCCTGGGTCAGGAGATGCACCCCGGCCACAAGCCTGGACGCTTCGCGGAGGTGGGTCCTGAGCCGTGGGCCACAGAGCAAAACGAAGAGAGAACACGGGCTGAACAAATTTGGTATCATTGTAGATCTCAATAGGTTTTATACATATATATATATATTGTTGGGCATACTCTGCAAACTATTCCTTTTTGACTATATTGTAGATTCTTAAGTTTCAAGGAAGCTCCCAGTCAGACAACGGAAGCTTCTTTGAAGCCTGAGCTTTCCCGCGTGCCCTGTAGCTTGCTCAAGCCTAGCTCCTTACCAAACTAGGGTACCTCCTTACTAAAGTATCTTAAGTGGCTGATTGGTTGGCTAACGTCTCTCTGGCACGTCTCGGCTTCCCCAAGAAAACGTCTCTCGTCCTTTTGGCCCAGGTTTGACGGGATGGAGTTTGATGGCTTGAGGTGGAAGATGCGATCTGAAGGAGATGTCGCCACATCAGCCAGAAGTGATGCATCAGCATGTAGCGAATGACTTTTCCATGCTGAAGATACTCATGCAGGGTGGATATGTTTGGGTCAAGGACAGGATAAACATTCAGAGGTTATTGGAGAGAATGTCAGTGACGCAAGCAATGCAAACTTGTAGAAAGTCCGCAAAGGATCACCATGGATGTCGCTTGGGTCATGGGTGTCATTGGTGTTCAGTGGTGTTGGGTGCACCAGGGCCGCTCGAGCCTGGTAGTTTGCTGTTGTTTTTGGCACGTATGCCATGCCTGCCAGGAGGGGAACCATCGCAACCATCCCAGAGCCAGGTGCTGCTGTTTCTATGACCATTCAATTTTTGGTTGGGGTGGGCTTGGTGGTGAAAGTTCAGCACATCCTCCCAATTGGTTTTGGTTTCCTACTTTCTTGGCGTTTCAGAAGAATGTCCCATGGCTTTTGCCCAGGAACACGAACCTAACATTTTCAGGATTCAGAATCATTGGGCCAAACCTTAACAGACCCATGGCGAAACTTGGGTGGTTTCAGAATTTGAGTTGTTCACAAGCCAGAGACGCCAAACTTCCCTTGCAGCTGTGGAATGAAACAGTTTGTTGCAGGCAACTTTGCGGCTATGTGAAACAGATTTAATATTGTCAAGCTCGTTTGCTGCAATGGATGTTGGTGCTGGGGCCCTGCTGCTATACAAGGCAGTGTTTCAGATTAATGGGCTTTGAGAGAAATCCTGTGCGTTTCCACCAGCATGGACAGTGCCAATGTAGTTCCACCTTGTGGTGGCCCAAAAGCCGGGCTTTTGTGTCTTGAATCGATTCGTCCCACTTTGCTTCAACCAGGAAGCCCTAGGATTCCTACGTTTCGCAGGCGCTCATGGCCCTCGGTGAGGAGGATCGGATGCTTGCCACCAAGTACGAAGCAGCAGGTGCGGCGAAAGCCATTCGTTTCCGGCGAAGCAGCGAACGGAGCAAAGGACGCTACGAACGGAGCAAAGGGCACCGCTACTAGGAACAAGGACGCTACTAGGGGCTCCTGGCCTTACTACTAGGAAGAAGGGCATCGCTATTAGAAACTAGAAGCTACTAGAAGCACGTGTTGCTGCTTGAGTTTGGCCGTTCAGGTGGTCTGGGGCTGTGCCTCAATCGTGCGTGGAAGATCCCGGACTGCGGTGCTTAGACTTTTTGGAAGACTACAGTCGTGCTTCTCAAGTGAAGCATTCGTTTGTGGAAAAGGGGTGGAAGCAAGAGATGTTGCTCTTTCCTCAACTCTAGATTCAAGCCTGTTCCATTCCAGCGCCTTGTCCGTCCTTCCAGGCTTGCCTCTGGATTTGATCCTCTTTACGTTTGTATCAGAGATGGAACCCATGCTAAACATGCGATTCAGTGCAGGCTCAACACTGGATTTCAGGCTTTTTCCCTTCTTGCACGCTGCTGTTCAACTCTGGGTCTGATCCTTTTCTCAGCACCCTGTGTTTAGCTTGACTCACATTTCAATTTGGTACCCCCCGGAACTTTCAATACCTTTTTGTTGTAATTGCAGTGGGGAGAATCTTAGATCTTAGTCTTAGATCCCACATGTTTTCAAACGTGTTAACGCATTCGGGGATGCCAAAAACTCCCAAGTACCTGAACTCACAACACACTCTCTTGGTCCTTTGCCGTGGCGGGAGACGTTTGCTTTAGCAATCAGGAGGCCACCCTCAGCTTGTGACCAACTTTTTGATACCCAGGCCGTCTGGAATGGCATAATGACGGGTGAGTTCTACATTCACCCCTCCTGAAGCCCAATGGACCGGCACACACTCGGCATCACCATCAACAACATCCAGAAGACTATGAAATTGACACCGCTTGGAACTTGGAAGCTCAATGTGCTTGGGATCACCCAAGCGAGCCAAAGTGGAAAAGAAACTTGCGGACAAACTCTTGACCAGAATCAGCCTCCAGCACCTCAGCTTCCAAAGTTTAGGAAATTCGCCTATGTATATAAACTATAAACATACAATTGCCTAATTTGCGATCAAGCTTACAATGTCTGCGCAAGCGCGAGCACAGTTGTTTGGCGAAGGTGCTGGGGACTCCACGGTTGCATTTTGCCGTACTGCGCAGAAGCGTCGTTCTTCTTTACCACCCTTAGTTCTCGGTGAGACGACTCAGACCTTTTGCTTCGGGGTGAGGTGAAGGCACCGGAACCGTAGCCTCGAGCAAGAATGCTGTACTTCCCACGTACAAGCTCCATCTCGCGGCGCCATGAAGACGTGACAGCCTGTGCGCAACTGGCCTTGGCGATGTGGAAGAAGGGGTTGATTCAGGTTTCTACCCGGTTGCGGGAGAAGTGGCAACGAAGGCAGAAGCCAGAGTTGGTCCGAAGGAATCTTTTGGCGTCAAGCAGAGAAACTTGACATTAGATTCATTGCCCAAACTCAGACCTTGCAAAGCGCAGCCCAATAGTAGTGTTAAGTCTCGAGTTGACTCATGTCTAAACCGTTTTTGGCCTCATCCCCGTTTGTGGTAGAAGCTGATAGGACATAGCACTTGGGAGGTGGAAGTTGAGGTATTGCTTCGTGTTGAGTGTTTACTTCCTGTTTTTTTGTGACGGTTCTTCAGCGCGTCCATGTTTCTGAGTCCGACGCGCAGGATCAGCTCCGGGCCGAAGCTCGAAGTCTGCTGCGCAGCGTTGCAGGCGAGCCCGAGGCGCGGGGGAACGGAGAAAACCCGTGGGGGAAAACCTGTTCGACCCCACTGGCAGCGGGAACACCGGTGCAGTTGCTTTGGGTGTCCGGTCTGCTCGTGGTATTGAGATGTGAGGTCTGTGAGGTCCTTTCTTGGCGGTATGTATTTCCTGCTGTACCTCGTCGTCTCCGATTGCATCGCCTCAAAGTTGACGCCTCCCACCAGTACAATAGTGGAGTCAGACAATTGGCGACCATGCGCCTGTAGCTGAGGAAACAAAGTCTTGGCTAGACTTAACCCTGCTGCTAGTTTGAGTTCTTGATCCTCTGTTGCGTCCTTGCGCCTAAAGTGGCCAACAGCAACTGTACTGCACACATAATGACAACTGCGTACAAACATCCCACAAAACCCAAAAGACAGCGATGACAGCGCGACAACATGACCAATGCCCAGCAGCATTGGCCAGACCCAGTTCATCCGACACCAGCGACCCGAACCATTGTCTCTTGAACATCGCAAACATGTCCAACTCCCACCTGGTTGGGGTGGCCCCAAGTAACGGGACGTAGCTTCCTTTTCCAGAGCCCTGTTTGAATAAATGCAACATTATGTATATGCATATAGTAGCTGACATTTTCCTTGGAATGGCGCAGTTTGGAAAAAGGGTCTGCGCTGTGTGCGTGTGTGTATAACAGAGGCCTCAAGTTGACCCGAGCAGGTGCGGGACATGCATGCTTTTCAGACATTGTATTTCTACCTAGAAGACATGTGCGGCGACGACAAACTTTTTGGCAACCTATTTGGGCATCTTCGCATTTCCCTGAATTGACCGAGTTGCGCATTTCCAAACGCTTAGACCATTCCTCAATATTTCAGCGCTTAGCATACGATGTTGAATCTGAAAGAGAGTTTGCAACGGAAGGACAAACGTGCCCACAACAACGAAATTTTGTGTTTTTTCTTTCAGGAAGGCCACAGGGCAAACACAGACGGTGTCAATAATGCATTGCATAACCGACATCATCAATTGCTTGCTCTTTTTCATCGGTTTTTTACAAACTTCAAAAACACAGCATTCTAAAGCAAACATCCACCCCCAAGCCAAAACTTACTGAGCTATCTAGCAATTATAACGGTTTACGCGAACTGAGACAGCCTCCCTTCACTGGAGTTGGTTCTTATCTTATCACACTTCATTCATAAAGCCTTTGAATTTGGTCTATTTGCCGGATTTGCTATTTGTCTTTTTCTGCGTGCATGAAAGTGTCTGGCACAAGGGCCCTGTTTTGACCTCGCGATATCGGCATATGTTGCACCTTAGCTACCAAGTAGTCGCTACCCATCCTGAGTGATCGAATCCTTTTTGGACGACAGAAGTGTTTTCCAGGGCCAAGACCGCCAAGACAACAGAATTCTCCGAACTTCCCATCCATGACAGTAGGCTGCGAAGGAAGAAACAACTGCTCAGGATGGCGACGACGAGCTAATAGCTGACACCATGTTGGGCTCAGAGCGTGTAAATGTGCGACCACTGTGGCATGGTCATAGTAGAGTGAAGTTTCTCTGCTCAGTGCCCGTCAAGAGCAATATCCCAGCTTTTGTTCCAGGTACCCTGGGATGAGCTCCAGAGCCAGCTGGGGGCAAAGGAGGACGGGGTTGGATACTTCAGAGTGGAAAGATGCATTCAGCTGCCGTTCATTTCTATACATGTGTTTTCTATACGACTCCATTTTTGCTCCTCATTGATGCAACGGGCAGCCCGTTTTTGGCAGTATGATGTTGTTTTCTTGATGACAGCTGCCCTTTGCGCTGATGCAGGTGGGTCCAGTAGAGAAAGCAGCTTTATTGCTGCATGCGGCCGACATTGCTGAGGAGCGGGAGGTGCCAAAGCCATCGGAATTGACTGTCAATGGCATTGGCATGAAGCATTTGGATTCAGCAGATACACTTTGCATTGACTGCTATAACTTGAAACCCGCTGGTAGGCCGTCATGCGGAACACTTGGAGTGACATTGTGTGCCTGGCCTGGCTTGATGCCGCAAATGTGCTTGAATGAGTGAACAAAGCCCGCACTATCCCCTGTCTTTGCTTGAAGTCCCAGGAATGAACACATGTATAATTAACTGCAAGACTTCTGGAAACAGTTCCTTTGGTGGCTGGGCATTGTCAAAACCTGTCTTATTTTTTGCATTCTCCCTAGAAGCCTAGTGCAAAGTACTGTCAGCATCTCTATTGCAAACGAAGGCGCACCTGCCGCAGGAGTTTGGTGGTGGCGAGATGTCCAATGCCGAACTTGTCGCACGACTGGAGCGGCAGTTTGCTGGGCGAGGGCCTCCCAGACTTTAGATGAATTGAGCAGCTGATTACCTACTTCCAGGTATCAGTAAGTGTTTGCATGGAGGTGAAGCACTTCCAATCGATTCCAAGTAGGTCGCATTGCCCAACAACATGCGCTGACGGATCTTGAGGCAACTGGTGAAATCAGCGGAGGTGCGAATTCGTCACCGCCAGGAACAGCAGAAGAAGGCGTCATTTTGGGCAAGTGTGGCGAGCTCGCACATTTTTCTTTTAGTGTTTCGAACATTTGGATGTAGCCAACAACCTGTGGAGTATGGTTGCATGCTTGAGTTTATGTCAACTTGGAAGTGAAGGCAACTCCAACCGAATGCTGGAAAGAACGGTAAGTTGTTGGGGAAGCGTCTGCAGTGTCTACAGCACAGTTAGTGGGATGTAACTGCCAGAGCAGTGCACGAGACTGCTGCAGGGGACGTCAAAGCCACGGGAGACTGAGATGCAGGAGCCAGCCGAGAAGGCAACGTATGTACGTCGCAGCTGGCAACAAGACACAATGTGGATACAGGACATCAAAACTTGTGATTGGACAGATCCAACTTGCTACTGTAGCCTATGTTTTGTAGCCTTATTCCACTGTAACAGGACTGGCCACAATGTCTACAGAGTATCTACAAGCAAATTTCATCGATGTTTTCATGTCTTCGGAAGACTCTTTGGTGGAGACCATTGGCTAAGAAGGAATTCTCATGCAAAGTCACTCAGATCAACTAAGAAGATTGGACTTTCATAGCAAATTGACTGTGATGCCGATTTTGTCATAAAAGCGGCCATGTCTTCCAAAGCAGTCTTGAAGCTACTAAAACCAGTACTGGAGCATGTTATGCTCTTAGGATCCACTATTTTCAATTCACACATAACTCACATAACTTCACTTCATGACTGCGAGCCATGTATTATTGCTTCTTTCCGAACCGCGACTATGCGGTTGGTGCATTATCAGGCGTGAGACATTGGCATAAACGTTCAAACCATTAAATACTACAGTCATCTACAGTCGAACATCGTAGAAGCTCTGCTTGATGGCGAGAGCAGAGCATAGAAACCTCGGTTCTCACCGCTTGCTTCTTCGACATCGTTGATATGTCCAAACCTGCATGCGGAATTTCGACGTGGGTTTTCGGGCGCAGGAATTTTTGCATCATGTGTGGCGGTGCTCCTATCCCATCCCATTGAGCGCTTTGGCAGTAAACTGGTGGAGAGGCTTAGAGATAGTTAGAAGGAAAGAATCAATTTGTGCTCCCAATTGACGAACGGTGCCAAAACCTTTAGACGCGTCAGCCATACCTTCTTGTTGGTCTCTTTGTCATGAAAGTCACAGATGGTTCCGTGTGGCTCACCGCTTCAGCCGATTGCTGTCCCCACACCAACAATCCACAGATCAGACAAGACGGTCTGGGGTCTGAGGTCTGAGGTCTGAGTCCACATTCACCACAAGGTCCTATAACATCGGTCTATGTGTTTCTAGGACTTAGTGGGTTGGAGGCCATCGCTAGTAGGTTGGAGGCCATCGCTACTAGGGTGGAAATCTAGGGCTTGGATTCAGATGTGTCTTCTACACAGGATATACAGTATACCATAGATGGCCTGACCTATGGCCTTGGTTGATTGACAAGAAGAGGGGATACCCCCCAAGCGTACAACCAATCGGCAAACGGTACCTGGAATTGAACCCCCCAATTTTCCCGGGAAGGATATCCGTGTAGTTCAGTTTTCTAACAATAGGCCTCACACTGAAATTGCTTGAGATTCTTTTGGCGAACATGCTAGCTAGGAGCAAGGACGCTACTAGGGGCTCCTGGCATCGCTACTAGGAGCAAGTGCCTTACTAGTAGTAACAAGAAGCTAATAGAAACAAGTGAATCGCTTCTAGTAACAGGTGCCTTACTAGTAGTAACAAGGACGCTACTAGGGGCTCCTGGCATCGCTACTAGGAGCAGTTTTTCTGCTTGGGGTTTCTGGGCGTCAAAATTCAGGTCAGTCAAAGTGCGTATGCAGACGGCGCAGCACCTTAGTGTCGCTTGACCTTCCAATCTGGATAGATCAATTTGTCATACCGGGTTCCGGTCTTGTTCTCCAGAAGCATCCAACAGCTATGTTGATTGGACCATCGGATGACTAAAACATGTTTTGACACGACTAATGCAGTAGAGTTGACATCACGAGAAGTCCCAAATTTGCTTTTCAACTCTATGTGACATCCATGACACTGTTTGTTTTGTGGAACTTTGTTGCGAGCTTCACCGAAGTTCCACCGTTCCTCTCAAGCTCGCTTCAAGGAACCGACGGCTTTTCGACGGCTAGCCAAGCTACTGTGGAGGCTCGGCTACCCCTCAAGAGATGTGAATAGAACATGTTACAGACACCGGACATTTTATATAATCTTTATGTCCGGATGAACACAGATTGCCTTTGGTTGAAGAGACACTTCTGTCGAAGCGGTGCCTCCTGGGCATGATTGGCCATGCCTCAAGGAACCATGCCTCAAGAGTCGATGCCTGTGTCTGAGGCCTTACTATGGCATTGGGCCGCACTTGCTGCAGGACACCGCCGACTTTTGTTTTGTTGATCTAGGACGTCCAAAGTGAAACATGTAGCGGCTTCTGGGCAAATTGCAAGAGAGTTGATTGACACCGATTTGGTAGCTTCTTGCGTTCTGCTTGTGACTAGAACCTTTTGGACACCGCGCCAAATTGGCCTTTTGGAATCCTATGAAAGCCACCGCCATTCCGAAGCTTGTTCCGAAGCTTGCTGACTTAGTTCCCTATCTTGCTGGGACTGTCTTGGAATCTTATGGAAACTGAAACCTTGAAGCCTTGATGAACCTTCCTTGGCATCTTGCCGGAATACTGCTTGAGGCTTGTTTGATGAGTTCTATCCTTTTTGCCGAGTTGATTTGTGTTTAGTATATATAGAACTGCTTCGAACCTGTGCAAAAGAAGACACCTGGTCAAATTGTTGAGACCTCTCTCCTTTCTCGAACCCAACGCAGCTTTCTGAGGCGACGTTTGTGGTGCCTTACTTGGTTATTATATAATGTGATATATATATATACATTAATTCTTGGGTCCTGCTTTGCAAGAGGTTTCTTGGAACATGAGCCTTTTTGCGAGTTGCACCCTTGCTTGGAGTCCATCGAAGCCAGACACTTTGTTGCAGCTTCATGAGTACATGTTCGGAAGCGTGGCAGAGTCATAAAGAAGCTGGTTGAAACCTTGCTGGCCGCTTTTAGCAAGCTTTTGAACATGCTGTTGAAACAGACACTTGACGACACTTTGCTGAGACGCATGCGGAACCCTAATGAAGCTTAGCCCCGTGATGTTGGTGGCCGGTTGCAGTCGCTTGTTTTGTGTTGCCACAACCAACCAAGCACGTGTTCAATCTCTGCTGTTGGCTCACACGCTGGATGAATCATCAAGTCTCCTTTGTGGGCAGCTGAGTGCAGGGGACGGACATTTTCTTTCCCGACTAAGTTACTTATATCATGCAGAGCTTGTGGTATATAGTAATCCACCATCTAAAAGGTGTAAGTTTTTTCTCCTGGAGTTTCCTTTTTTCAATAAGGATTCAAGAACTCTTATGAATCCCTCGGTAGCAGTCAGCAACCTGTCACCCAACCTTTATAATTCCAGTGCTTTGGGTTGTCTGTCTCGCTGGACTCTTTTCAGCTCGAATGGCTCGTGTCGCAGTACATGCTTCTCAACTCCGTGCGCTTTGGTTCCTTCAATGCAGCACAGGCGGGAGAAATGCAACAGTTTCCATCACGCGAAGAGCGGAAGAAGCCTTTTTCATCATGTGGAACTCTTCTCGGTCCTTGCTATGCGTCGCTTTCTTTTACTTAGTAGTACTTAGTAGCTTACATTACATCTTACGTGTACTTACTACTACTCGCCTTTGTCTTTATGGCCTCTAAACATATGAACACAGAAGAGAAAAGAAAAGACCTCACAAAAGAAAAAAGCAAGAAAGAAAACAAAAAAGGCAAAGCCAAGGATTAGTCACTTGTGCAAAGGTCGTACTGTAAAACAGGTTGAACAGCTTTTTGCATCCCTGCTGCTTTGCTGAGCGGTCAATTTGATTGGCTTCAGTGCAAGACGAGACATGAGCAGAGCAATTTTCCAAAGGTGAAGGGCATCTATATTCCCATTTTCCTAAACTAGTAGGTCTGATCTTTTTCGTTTCGATTCGGCATCCTCCAATGTCAGGGTTACCTACAGCGGCGGGCTGGAGATAGACAGTTGTCGCTGTCGGAGGCGTGAAGTACGACCTCGGGTGGCAGATCGGTGGCGGATCAGTTACAGTACTAGCTTCTTGTTACTACTAGTAAGAATGCTCCTAGTAGCGATGCCAGGAGCCCCTAGTAGCGTCCTTGCTCCTAGTAGCAAGGCCAGGAGCCCCTAGTAGCTTCTTGTTACTAGTAGTAAGGTGCCTTGTTACTAGTAGTTTCTATCTGCTACTTGTAATGCCAGGAGCTGCGAGTAGCTTCTTGTTACTAGTAGTAAGGTGCCATGTTATTAGCAGCGAATAGGACGTTTGCCAATTGAGCGGTGACCACACAGCCTTTTGTAAATCACTCGGTTGCATTGCACCCTAGACTGGCTTTGACACTGGAGGTTGCCAGTTCCATCAGGATTTCAGCTCTACAGCAAAATGGTCATGTTTATCATTGTTGTTTAAAACTTTTGGCCATGACACCGTTCCAGATCCTGGCAGCTGGCACCTTTTCGGGTGCTTGTATCGCAGCGACCCTCCATCCGCTCTTCGTTGTGAAGACCCACCAACAGGCCCGAGGTGGTGGGTGATGGGTGCGTTCGCAATAGAGAATGTATGTGACACAATTTTGGAAGCAGAGAGGTGAGGATCAAGTATATAACGCAGCCTTGTTGGTTGGCACATCCAAAGAGAGATAGATAGTGCAGTCTTGTCTATTTGCTGACCAAGCTTCATTGAAAGTTAGCCCGCAGAACAACTACCTTGGCCTTGAGATTTTATGTGAAGTCTTGCAAAGAAGGGTGGCTGCAGCCTGAGATCCATTAAAAGTCCTTCCAACAATTCTGGCTGCTTGAATTAGATCCCCAGGCCAGGTCGCGGTTTCGATCCAGATATTGGCGAGGTGGTGGCCATATACAGCAACTATATGCAACTATACCATGAATCTTTTGCCTGCGAGAGCAAGGGGCGCATGCTAAAGATGATTCAGCACAGGCATGGACAGCAACAAGTGGACAGGCTTTGTGATGATTCGAAGGCTTTCACAGGGAGACCACAGCAAGTTACACCGTGTGACGACTCAGCCAGAGCCACCACGGGCTCCATGCAGTGCTCCATGAGCTTCCTGATCAGGTGGCAATAGATGCAACAAGGGTCACGTCCGCCAGAAGCGTTTGATTCCTGCAGTGCTCTGTTGGGGGAGGTTCATTTGTCGTTATGACTGACTCTTTTGCATGCAATTAAATTTTGACGGAATGGAACGTCCAGAACTACCTGGTTTGAAGGGCTGGATGTCTTGGTCTCGGTGGTTTGATCATTGCGAACTCCGATGGCCTAGGGCCTATGTCCACAAAGGCTTGTGCAGATTGAACTTGGTTGACTGCCATTCAGCTGCCCAGTCTGGCTCTACTCACCAGCTGCTAGCTTGATGTGTTTGAAATATACAAGAAGGCTTTTGGACCCCTTACTAAGGCCCCTTTTTAAGGTGGCCTCATTGAAGGGGCGCAAAAGCAATCCTTTTTCTTCTCTTAGTTGTACTATTACGTAACTTATGTACTACTTCCTCCTCTTGTTCTTCAGAAAGTTTGGACATGCCACCTTCGTATCAGTCTCCCGATCGAACTCAGCGAGCCGCAGACCTGAGCGAAGACCCGATGTACAAAGGGTTTAGGGCTCAGGGTGTAGGGCGAACTAGTTTTAGATAGCAGCGTTCAGATCTTCTTGGGATAGCATTTTTCTGGTTGAGTCCCATTTGGACATAAAGATGATCTGTGAGTCTTTTGGACAGGTGAACCGTTTGTCCACCATCGAAGCGATGCAGCGCTTGTGGCATGGTGAGGGACTTCCTGGTGCCTTGGGTGGCTGAATTCTGGGTGGCAAGACGTGTGGACTGTATCTTCCATCATCAACGCGAGAGGGGATGTGTTTAACGGTTTGAGTCTAGAGTCTAACACACTTCATATAATGTAATTGATGGCGTTCTCGATGGAGATACTCACTAGCAATCCAGCTTGTTGCAGCTAAGGATTTTTCCGTGCGTTTGTTAGCGGCTTCGTGCGCTTCCCGGTCGCTTTGGGCGTTTTCTTCGTAACCTATGAGGACCGGAACTTGGTTTGATGAACTTTGATGTAACTTTGTTTGGAAGCGACTGTTTGGGCTCAGCTTTGAGTTGAAGTTGTTTGCCTTAGCGTCTTAGCGCCGCATTTCACCGCTTTGACCTGAAGAGGCCATGAAGCGCACGCCGCTCTTCACTACAGGACGGTGGACGAATGGGCGTGGTCTCCGGTTAGATGCACCCGAAAGGGCAGGGGACAACACAGAGTGGTCATTTTCATTGGGATGATTGGCCATTGCGATTGAGAAAGCAAAGTGGATGAACATGGACCTGGTTGAAGAGGGTTTGCCATAGTCACCATCGTCTTCTTTCCTCGATACTAGAGCTTTGTTATTTTGTGATTGTTTTGAATCTTCAAATACTATACAAGCAGAAAAACAGACTCTGTGCCTTTGTTCAATACCGACGCTGCTGTCCATTCTGCTGCAGTCCATTCCTGCAAGACGCCAGTGATTGTTCCGTTTCAGTCCGCTGCCTCTCTGTAAAGCCATTCATATAGCATTCAGCCTGTTTGTTTTGTTGGTCAACATTGTCACATATGTCACACTTGGCTCATTGCACTAGCCACCATCCGCAACCTACAAGAAGCTAATCTCCATCAAACAACCCCCCATTGTTCAGCTGTTCAGCGCCTTCACGGCGGCTTCGCAGCGCTTATCATCGGCGGGAGGTGATGTCAGCTCCTCTATTTCGCTGCAGCTGCGAAATAGCACTTGGATCGCAGCTGCTTTCATTGCAATGTTCTTTTTTGTTCCCACTTGGATCGCAGCTCTTCACTTCTTGTGAGCTTCTGAAGCTGACAGGCATCTATGGTGCTACTGCTGGGGTCCTTTGCTGGACTTCTGTTTTTCCACTCGATGCACCTTGGTAAGCAGTTCATGTGGAAGTTCAAGACCAAAACCAGATAAGCTCTTCGCACACCGGGAAGAGTCCTTGGTCGTGATCAAACCTGTGGTCATGCATGACATTATTCCAATTTGCGTGCACCGATGCATCCGAAACTGAACGTCTGAGTGACGAGACTTGCTACATTCTGGCACCATATAAGGTGAGCCCCTGTGGTTCTCCGGATGACTTTTCGTGGTTCTTGAGTTGATCTCGCTTTAGGTAGTGCAGAGCCGTGTGATGGGTGAGGCCATCTACGGCCAAGGCACCTTGGCAGTTTTACAATTTTACATACCCTGTGTCATTTATAGATCAAACAACATATGGTTCACATCAAAGGTTCGTGCAAACATTCCGTGCACAGGCAGTTTCTGGTTCGATCGTGAGGCCGGCAGTACACAGGGGTGGCCAGAGACTGAGAAGGTGGAGCTTCCCACCCGGGCTCCGAAAAGGCTCCGAAGTGTGTGCTGCTCTTTAGCAGGGCTTGTTGCAAAGCTTCGCAATGAACAGCAACCGAAAGCTACACTGACTTCCTTCAGCTCTCGAAAGGACTTGACACTAACTTACTTCAAGCAAGGTCAGCTGCACACGGCAGCTCTTCAACACCGAAGGCTTTGCTGGCTTCACACGAGGCGAGACGACTTAGTGTTCGATTCTTTGCAGCTCCCCGTGACGCATCACAACCGGATCGCCGTGCATGCAGCGTGTTTATGCCCCATTCCCAGGCTATTCTGCTGTACTAATGCGAGCTGGACCGGTGAATGCAGCAACTTGGAAGTACACCAGATCTTGTCTTGCGATTTTGACCAGAAGAGACGCAGAACTAGAATTTATGCATCTACGTGATTAAAAATCAGCCAGCCAAGGTACTCTTCCCAACTGTTGATATGCTCAAGCCCCTAATTGAAGAAAACTTGCCAAAGGAGTAGGTTCAGAAACTGTGCTGGGCAAGGTGCGAAAAAGGTGAAGATGTCGTGTTGGTGCCCTGTTCGCACCACGTGTACATATATGGATTTCTGGGGTGAGATCTCAAAGCAGTTCCACCAGTCCTTGAGCAGGTTTTCCAGTGAGTCCAATGAGCAACTCATACTGAGTTGCTAAAGACTCATAATGAGAATGCAGACCTTCCATGCCAATCCAAGTGAAATTGCTTCCAGTGGAACAAGAGCTTTCTCGCTCAAAAGGGGCTTCCAGGTTTCTCAGTTTGTTCAGTTCGTAGTAATTGGACAAACGAGATCTGATTTTGGTGAAATGTCATGGTGAGATCGACACCAGTGAGGCAATAGTTGTCAATTGGGTTTTCCTGGTCTTTCAGAAAACGATTCGTTGTGCTTTTGACGATCCGTTCCTTTTCCCAAGAAACCGACGGGTGAAACCACCACCGACGTTTCGGATAACGCTTCGCGTTGCTTCGCGATGCGAAGCAATTGACGGTGCGACAGGGGCCGAAGAATGATGGAATCTTTGACATGGTGCTCAAGGAGCAACGCGTTTCGGGTCGTTTGGTCAAAGCATTTGTTCTAGTGTGAAGCTGAAGCTGCAGTGCTTCGACAGCGATTTCGACAAGATAAGAGCCGGAGCAGGTAGGCATGCTGTAAGTTGGGTGGAGTTTCCTTTTTCGTTGTTGCCTCCTTGTTGCTACAGACTTCAAAGAACATAAAGCACAATTTCAGTGTGGACCATCTACACATCATGCAAGTTGTCTTTGCCATTGCCACAAAGGAGTGATGAAAGCCAGAAGTCGTGACGATTACAGGATTACTTATTTATTCTATTTTGTTAAAACAACCTATTGTATTCCTTCGATTTGATCAGGACTGCCAAGACGTCAGAGCCAGCACCTCAGAGACGCGTCTTTCGCGCGCAGCGAGATGGGCGGCGCGCCACCGGACCTGAAGATGTGAGGAGATTCAGCAACCATCGGTTAAAGCTGATCACATAAAGGATTATCACCATGTCTCAAGCAACCTCACCATCATCCACTAGTTTTCCATGAAAAACCATTTGACCATTGGTTTACAACATCCCCTTTTTGGGTCACCGATGGTCACCGATCAATTCTGAGGACTTGCAGCAGCGGCTTCCACCCTCGGAGCTCACCGCAACCTTGAATGAGCCACGAAATTTAGGCGGCAAAGCTAATTGCCATGGCCTCCAACCTAGTAGCGATGGCCTCCAACCTAGTAGCGATGCTGACAATTACAGCGTTCTGCCATGTGATTCCAAACTTTAATGGTCGTAGTATTTCTTGCTGTACTGTAGCTTTCCATGATGTGGCCGTGTGATGTTTCGAGAGAGTGTTTCATCAAACCTGTTGCCAAAAGCTGTCCAAAGCTGCACCAAGCAAGATGGACAGGTGTCGCATTGGACCTCATTGGAGTTTACCTCAAGAACTATGAGATTGACAAGTGCGCCTGATGAGCCACAGTGCGCTGTCTCTTTCGACTCCAAATCGATTTTGGCTGGTTGCGAAGCTTTTTTTGGGGGAGTTTGGCGTTTGCAAAGCTCATTTTCCAGTTTGATGAGGTGCGACTATGTCTTGGAGCGGATAGTGCCATTGCAAGATCCTCGGATATGGTTCGGGACAAATCCTTAGCTAGCAGAGATTGCAGTGATATCAGGGTGGGTTGAAAATAGGGTGCCTATGGTTGAAAGGGAGTAAAGAACACAACCACACGTAAAGCGAAGTAATTTACCAGGAAAACCATGCCAGGCAACCATCCACTAGATTGGACAATCCCTTGTGTTAGCAGGAACGTTTTGACCACATCACTTTCTGATAGCTCAAAGCTATAAAGCTTCTTCCTTCTCAAAATGCCTAGACTCAGCATCCTCACCAATATTACTGTAGTATATCTGACACTATCTCGGTGAGACTCTGTGTCATAGCCTAGTAATTGCTTTTTCTTCCCTATCTCCATGCCAGCATGAAACCAGCTGCCACGTCATGTCAATATGCGAACATGTTTAACTGACATGTATATTTCTTTGGCTGTTCCACAATCACTCGTGGATGTTTGCGCCAACCCTCTAACTGAGCCTGGGCTGTTTACACCCGGCAAGACATAGCAGGTCTATTTGGGGTGTATGGCCACCGCAAGACATATGGCGTTGGGCAAGACATATGGCGTTGGGTCTGTGGACCTCCCATATGATTGATCAGGACTTTTTGGTACACGTGGTTTTTCATGTTGCACCCTGTATATTGACTAGTATACTAGTATAGTATATACCCTGGTGACAGCAGCTTTCTCTCGGGACGACATTCCATGTGATCTTCACAGGGCGAGAAAACGTGGAGGCACCTGGCTGATCAAGGCGCTGATCAAGACAACCGGTTCGTCCAAGATATGACCCTCCCACCTATGACAACCGGAATCTAATCCCACAGCCACACATAGTGCCGATACTGCAAATGGTTGACTTGTGGCTGGTCCCCATTATTTTGAGAGTTTTAGCTGGGGTTTGGTTCAGCCAGTTAGAGCATAGACGCCAGGGTTGTTTGGAGCCCAGAGTTGGAGTAGGTTGTCAGCTCAATTTATGTGTTTGTGGCCCTCCTTCCTGATTGTGGCTGAGGCTCTTTGGATTTGGAGTCGAATGTAATAGTGAATAGTGGAAGTCTGTAACAGTCGCAGTTGGGCAAGACTGGGTTTATGGCTTTTGGAACGTTCTGAGTTCTGGTTGCCGAAAGGTTGAGAGAGTTTCAAGCGAGTGTAGGGCCGAGCTGAGATGGATAAACGCTGCTCGCGGCGCTGCTACATCAATTCTTCAGTCTTGAAAAGGCATGTTCTAAAAGTAGTAATAGATAGTTGCAAATTTGGGGCGTTCGCATTTCAAGCATTGCCATGTAGGCTTTGGACAAGCTCTGTGCTGTCCGAATGAAACAGTTGTGGACCTAGTCGCAGACATCAGTGATTTATCCATATTTCTAGCCTCCACGGTGTTATTGAAGCATTGCGGTTACCAAGGTTTCGTGCCTACGATGCGTTAGTGGCCTTGAAGGAGATTGAAGAGAACGTGCCCTTCCAACCAGAAGAAGGTTGGGAGGTGCGGCACCTGCGAGCAGAAAGGCAAGTTTTAGACACATACTTTTGGGTGAGAATCTTAAGGAAAAGCATTCTTGCTGAAAAATGTGCACAGGGCTATCCAAGGTAAACTGACCTATACCGGTTTGGAAGAAGTTTGAGGTACTAACAGGTACTTACCTCCAAGACAAGACTGCCACCTTACTAGTAGTGTTAGACTCATTGCTGTATGTCCTTGCAAATATTAGTACAATCGTGAGCATTTTTTCGAGACGATGACGACAGTGAGAGCTATTTCTGTTTTGGACTGCCAGTTCCACGACATCATGTACAGAAACTTTGCGTGGCCTGGGCCCAGGTGTTTCCTTTGGCTAAGACTCAGACCACATTTTGCTCTTAGACAACAGGTGTCCTACTAAATATTGTTGAAGGCTTTGTTGGAGCACTCTGCCTGTGTGAAGACAGAGGACCTTGCATTCTTGAGGTGCTACTCCTCGCTGGATGAAGCCGAGAAATGCTTGGAATATACCCGAAAGAGTGTTGAGGCAGCGCAACCTCAGAGGTCTCTACTAGGTGCTTCACAACTCCATTCAAACGGAATAACTTTTTAACATGTTGTTTTCGGCTACTTGTGCCCATCACACACGCAGGCGTGTGGCGTTGTGTGGTTTGAACTAACTTAGGATACTTAGGTGGCAAGTTGCAGAGGGACGCCTCCTTGGACTGTTTTGGCATCGTAGGGTTGTAGGATACATTTTTCACCAATTTTCCTCGTATAATTCACATCTATATAGCACTATGTAGAAGAGCTCAGCTCAAAATCCTGTAATTCACAAGGAACTCCTTCTGGAGATTAGCAAAAACTGGCGTGTGAAGCAATCCAGAACTGATGGTCTCGACAGTCTTGCAGGTGAAGAAGGCCAATGGCGTGCAACCCACTTGGTTTGACATTTGGGACTTGGGAAAAGCTCATGCGCGCCTGGGCTGGGTGCCTTGAAGACACCACCGACACCTGCTTTGTCAATGTGTAGAGAACACTACAGCTTCCATGCGGCTTTGTCAATTGATTTGAGGTCAAAAGACCCAGCAACGCGAAGAGATGAAGATAGGCACGACCAACCTGTATCACTTCCCATGACAGCACTCTGGCGGATATATACAACTTATACTTGTAACTCAATAGCATGTAACCCACCGGATATCTCTTGCGGTTCGCCAGAAGCTAGAGGTATCAGTTTGGGATGAGGCATCCAAGTACAAGCGTCATTAATATTGCAATTGGGCGTTATGGACATCAGCATTTTCGTGATTTTCTCAACTGCCGGACATTCACTTCAAGGTTGTATTGTGACTCAATCGATGCCACCGACGTTGGTTTGTCAACTGCTTTGAATGGACTCCTTGGTTGATGAAGGTTCAGCAATCCCTTCGGCAGGCTACGAACTCTGTGTGAAGGCAGGGGAAATCCATCGGACCGCAGAAGCCAGTGACCGGCCGGGGTGACCCAGCTGCGGCACGGGGTGTCCAGAAAAACCATGATTGCCAGCTGCAGGCGCCAGACGCGACACTTTCCTTGCATCCTCACCATCCTCGGTGTCCATCCTCAACGTCAACGTCCTCAACGTCCCTCCCGTCCCTCCCGTCCTCACATCTTCAAGACGTTTTTTGACGTCCCTCGCATCATTGACGTCCACGACGTGCTTCCCTTTCACATCTGGACGTCCACATTCTGAATGTCCCTTACATCCCTCATGTCCCCAACCTCCATGATGTCCTGCCTTTCACTTCCCTGTCCCTAACGTCCCTGCCCGTCATGTCCCTCATGTCTCTCATGTCCTGGACTTATCGTTTCCAACCTCTATCTCGTCATTCAGTGCAGCTGGAACTTTTGCCTCTTTGAAGGGATACCTCAGAGCCATATCCCGTCTCAGTCAGCCACTTCTTTCGTAAGGATCATGCTGGCCAAGATCCTGTCAAATGTGGGTGAAGTTGCCATGGGCATAGGCACGTCTTCTTGGGCGCCACGACTCAGTCATGTGATGTTGCCAAATAAGTTCTTGGGCATGTCATGCCATGAGACTATGAGACTGGAACGATGTAAGAGTGGCGCCATGGTCATAGGTGATGGTCTGACTAGTGGAAAGGTACAAGGTGTGTCTTCTTTTTCAGGCTTAGAGACATGTAAAGCAAGTCAACCTTTACCCCTTGACCCGCTGTGAAGCTCCAAGGGAGAGGTGCAGACGACCATGAAACCCAGATGACACCTCAGAGTTGATGGCAGGTGACAGTCACTTCCTCGCAGAAGAGAAGGAGGCCCTCCTGGTGTGGAGTCGTCGAGGTTTCTTCAACAAATCATCCGGCGGAGTCGCCAGGAAGCTCGCCAGTGGCCACACCCTCGGAGGGATGCATGGCAGTGGCCCAGCAATACCATACCTCTGAAACGACAGTTGTCCAGCACCCGCCCTGCATATGAGGGAAATAGACGCAGGCAGTTGCATCAAAGAAAAAGACAAGTGTACATATGCTGATAACATTATGTGGACGCTACTAGGGGCTCCTCGCATCGCTACTAGGAGCAAGGACGCTACTAGGGGCTACTACTAGGAGCAAGAAGCTACTAGTAATCATTATCAATAGACTTTGGTCACTGGTCTTTTTGGTTTGTGGGCGTCCTTTGGGCCACGACAAGGTATGAGAAGGCAGAGAAACCCTTGGGAGAGTCGTCAGGATGCCCAGATTTCACTGGGCCCGACAGGCAACAGCACAAGGGACTTATGTTGAGTGGTTCTATCCCTTCGAAATGTCGATGCCAAGAAATGATTCGTGCGAATGTGTAAGATTCTCTTTGCCCAGTTTGTGAACAACAGCTATTTGACACGATTCCTCTGACAAGTATTTCACACTATTCAGGATGCCATCACCATTTGGCACTGTTGAATGTTGAAGCACTTTCGTCAATTTCATGCAATAATGCAATTCAATTTCTTGTTTGTTACTGAGAAGGTAAGTCCAAAACCCGGTTTTGACAACATGAAGTACCGTCAGCTTGCTCCAGAAGCCTGTCCCAGCAACTGGTCAAATTCAGTCAATCTGGCAGCAGAAAAACAGAATTGACCCAGCCACTGTTGGCGCATTGTCACGAACAGGTATGAGCTGCATGTCTCCTCTCTGGGGCCCATGAAGCCTTTGGCCGGTTGGCAGGAGAGCTTGCGGCTCTCGAGGGTGTCGAGGGTTGCCAGTTGCCACTTCTTGGAACAAGCTTCGATCTCTTTGTCTTCTGGCATAATTTCAGATCAAGGCCTGTTTGTTAAAAGCCACATGGACCCTTCGAGTTTTGCTTCGTCTTCATCCGACTCAAACGACCGAGTCCATGAGCCGAACGCCATCTCCAGGCGGGGACCATGGCCCATTGCATGGTCCGGCTGGAGCGGTGGCCCGAGGTGCCGCGGTGGACCGGAGCTGCTGGACCTGGACCGGTTGGGAATTGACCACCCGGTTTTGTCTCAATCATTGGTTTCTTTCCGGGCCACACACTGCACATGTCAATGATTGGTGAGCAAGCGCACTTCGCACATTCTGGAGCAAGCGCTCGTGGCAAGTTCAGGATCCAACACTTGGAAAGTCACAAACAATTTTTGTGCGCTCGTGCAAAGCACGCTTCCCGCATGCAGCTCGTTCGATTTCTTTCCCACTTCTTTTTGGCTTGAACTCTTCACGCGCCAGGCACGGGAATACTTGGCCTTGGCCTTGCGTGTGGAATGTACAAAGGATTCCACCACCAACGGCAGCCTGGTTCGGGGCCTGAGGGATTAAGGTAGTGCATGCGCGGCCGTTTTGGCGGTGCATATTGCGCAAATGGATGTACTGCCCAAGTCTTGATCCATCCAGCTTGTCTTTTCTCAGCACATTGATGATTGAACTTGGATTGTCAAGTTGTCAGGATTCCTCACAACATTCTTGGGCTGGAGTAGAGCATGTTAGCAACTATATAAGATGTTGTTACGACAGAAGTCGTGACGTGCTGAGATGTTGCCTGTGCTGAGATCGAGTTGTTGGACCGCGTGGTGAGTTGTCACCAGGAGTTGGGCGACATGCCGCTTGTCACCTCAGGAAAACCTCAGTTGAGTTTCTAATAGCTTGATTCAACAAGATTCACAGCCTTTCACAAGCCTTTTAAGATCTTAAACTATTCTCATCCGTTGCCATATACCAGCATACCCTCATTTAAACCACCATGCCTTTCTCTAACTACACACATGATGTTTTCAGCAGCATCGAAGCCGCTCTTTTAAAGGACCGATGCGAAGGCAGGCCACACGCGTGTCTTTGTGCTATACGGCCATAGGGCTAGGCTAGACCCTGTTTCGAGGGTTTATTCCGGACTCCAGCCAAGCATCCATCAGCCTTTGCGCCAAAAGGAACTTGATTGAACTGGCAAGCATAGGACTGTGGATTGCAGATGTTTGAGCAACTGTGAGAACTCCGTGGTACCAGTGAGGTCGTGTGGGCGGTTTGTCTTCTGCAGGTTATATGTGTATATATATATATATATCCGGATTTTGAATAAAGGGGCTCCTAAATCCTGCCGGACAGAACGTCGGACTGATTCTGGCCATGACTCATGGCCCATTTGATCTTGTTTGCCATCCACACATCCACGAACCGTTTGACCCTGTTCGGGCATGTTCTGACCCATATGAATGTCTGGCATCAGGTTTCCTGTGTTGTATCAGTGTGAGCACAGAAAAAGAAGCATCTGCGCTTGCCGCTGATTTGCTGCACACATGACACAAGCACGCCTGCTCGACTGGACTGGGAGTGCCAGCCTATCCGAGGCCTGGAATGCTGGAGTATGTGCCAGACCTAGAAGAAGCCATGCGCGGACTCAAACAGCGAGGCGGAATTTGGGGGTGAGAAATTCCAGGAAATCTGACATATAACGCATGTCTGTTTAAGAAAGACATGCAACACTGATTGACCATTTAACGTTGGAATGTATGTATCTACTATAATTGTATTCAGTGGGTTTTTGCTTCATATTGTCACGAAAAATGACAGCCAAAAATGGCTTCATGTTTGCTGTTTCACCCGTGGTGGATCTCATGCTGTTTACCATCGAGTCCTGCTGTCATGTGATCAGGCTGGGATCGCCGGGAGCGGGATGTCTACGCTTTGTTGCTCCAGCTGCTTGGCCCAGATGAAAGGGCAACGTCAGGTGCAGACCTGCAGAGATATGGCATGGTAGGAGAGACATGGCACTTTCTCTGGCACCGCTTGAAAGAAACTGTATCTATTTCCAGAAATTAGCACAGTTTGGTAAGCCACTGCCACTAGCTTGTTTCACAGAAAACCAGGTGATCCTCAAAAGAGTTTCTGAAGCTTTGGCAAGAATAGTGAAGTCAAACGTCCCGCACCGCAGACCATTCACCGTTTTCAATCCTTCTCGAGGCGCATCTCCACAGTGCTTCTCTTGGCGAGCGAGGGCACAGGCAGGGCCCTTCTCGAAGGACGAGTGGTCCTGAAGAAACCAAAGGCTTTGGGAGACAAGATGCCTCACGTCCGCTGGTGCTCAGGAGGGAGCTGGCTGGAGCCGGCGTAGGATGGCTATTCCCCAGTAAAAAGGGAGCCGGTTCGGAGCTACGGGGAGTTCCCCAACCACTTGCTAGCTCAACAAAGACAGAAAAGACACACTTCTTGAAGATAAGGGCTGAGGATCCAAGATCCATCCTCGTGTTGATGGAAACAAGGAAGCGCAAGATGGTTCACCAAGAAGAAACCGAGGCAAGCTGATTGGCAAGGCGTTGCAGGTGCTTGAAGAGGCTTGGCAGGGTTGAAGAACTGGAGATACAAAAGCATGTGGTTTGCTTGAGGAGCGAATGCGATGCTGTACATGTGAATAGAGTCAGCAGGGACAATTCCTAACTTTGATTCAATCGTCTCAATACACCGTGGCTTGCTCGTGCGACAGTGCCGCTGTGCTTTGGTGCCAGGCCGCCAACAACCTGCAGATTTTCATCGGCGAGGCTTCTCAATTTGTTTGATCCTGAGATTTGGAAAGGATTGTCATCTAGATTCTAGATCCTGATGGGTTCGTGTGAAACAAAGAAGCTACTAGGTGGAGGCCGTCCCTATTAGGTTGGAGGCCATTCCTACTAGGAACAAGAAGCTACTAGGTGGGTGGAGGCCATCGCTATTAGGTTGGAGGACATTCCTACTAGGAACAAGAAGCTACTAGTAACACGTTCCCTTCAATAACGCCTTGACTCACAAAAGAACCCTTGGAGCGAACCACTTCTTGGACCCAAGGGTTCAATGAGCTTTGACTCCAAAAGCTCACGACGTGGCCCAGAAACTTAGGACGTGCCAGACATGGAGGCAGAGGCATTGGTGTCCGCAAGGGCTTCAAGGGACTGTCCACACACAGATGGGGCTGGTGACGATGACCATCCCACCTGACAGACTTGTGCACAAAAGAGCACCAAAAGAAAGCAAAAAGAGCAGGTTTTGTTCTTGTCCTTCACTTGCCCTTTCCTAATCTTTTTCTTTTGTGCTTTCCTTTGCCTTGCCCTTGTCAGTTTCCCCCCGTTTTCCATTCTGTTGTCTCCCTGATATCCCTTTCTGTTTTCATGTCCTTTTTCTTTCGACCTGTGTTGATTTTATCCGTGCCATTTCATTTTCCTTCTCCTGTCCCCTCGCCCTGTACGCCGTCCTTTTCTTCGCTTCGAAACAACATGATCAGTGTACAGTGTAAAGGCACAACAAATCCAGAATTTAGCTTGCAGCCTGCGAGCTAAGCTCTGTCTCGTGCTCGTGCAGGTTGATGTTGAGCTCCCAAAGCCTTTTGAGGCACTGGCAGACTGTTGCAAGTTCAATCATGTCCATTTGGCTGTTTGAAGGAGACCAGGAAAATCGCAGAGCCTTTAGAGGGGAGAATCACTAGTTGCTCGAGTACTTCTCATGTCTGAGGATGAGAAAGCTCGAATCAAGAAGAAAAAATTTGGGCCGCAGGTCGACAACGCAGGCACTAAGGGGTCAGGCATTCTTTGATGTTGTGTAGCTCAATTGTTTGCCGATGACATCTTTGTCTAACACAACTGCAATCAACTGCACCTGTGGCAAAATTCCAGTGAATCAAACAAGTCGTGAATCACTCCAACTGTTTCTTGACTGTGCACAACAAGTCTTGAGCAGATTTGGCAACTTGGTATCTTTGGCAACTTTGGTGTTCCGCACCGCTGCCATCGAGTTCTAGATGGGGCGAAGTCCTTGTTTTCTTGGTTTTGCTGCCAGGTGAGCTTCTGGAGCAGATCCGAACCAGCATCAAGATCTTGAAGGCACGACAGTCGACGTTTGCAGCTTTTTACATGGTATATAACCTTTTCAACAGCAAGTGCTCAGAACAAGACTTGGGTATGAATACACCAAATCTGGGTTGCTTTTGCAAGGTAAGCCAGACTGGAGGAGGAGAAGAGGCACTGTAGCATGACCTGATCCATTTCTTTTGGCTTGACAAACAGATGTGCCTAGAAAGATTCAGGCATTTGCAGTTGAGTGTACTGTTTGTTACATTGATAGAATGTCATAGCCAGTTCTTTTTGCACATATAAGTCAAAATTCATGAACCAGGATTAACCCCTTATTTGTCATGCGGTT